CTGATCCTGGGGCAGTGAGACCCCACTTTCCACCGCACACCTGCCCAGAATTCCACATCTAGGGTTGGAAGGGGCCAGCCATGTGCCATCATGGGCTTGGCATTCTTCCAGACAGACATGTTAGGGTTACCAAAGAACTGCGGATTTCAAACCATCACTTCACTCCATTGGTTTCCCAGCCTGCTAGGCCACAGGGTAATCTGGTAACGGTTCCTTGGCTCTCTTAGCGCCTGCTTCTCCAGCTCCAACATTCAAGATCCTCAGTCTCCTTCCCCCCCCCCCCCCCGGGCCAGTCTGCCCCACAGCCCACTGGTTCACTCCCTAAATGCCGCAGCTGAGGCTGGCTCCTCCGAAGGCAGGGACAGTGCCAGGACGTGTGTTTCCCAGCCTTCTCAAGCCAAGTCAGCTCGGAGCCTGGTAGGCAGGCCCAACGTGGGCTCCCTGAGGCCGAGGTCCTCTGCGCCACCTCACGCGGCCCTATCAGCCACAACACAGGTTCTACCCCGCCCTTGCAGAGCTGGCAGCTTCCCTGCAGGAAGGGTGGCAGAGCTTGCACTTGGCACAAGTGTGGACACAGCAAAGGGGACCCTGATTCTGCATGGGACGGTGCCAAGGTTTCCCAGGGAAGCTTGCCTGCCTGCCTAGATGAAGGGTGAGGCCGGGGCAGGGAACAGCAGGTGCTGAGATCCCAACCACAACCTGCAGGGAGAGGAACCCACAGTGGACCCCTGAACAGTGGTCAGAGTGCTTGCAGGAGTCATGCCAGGTGCGTGGCGGACAAGGACAGAGCATTGAACACACAGGGGAGGGGGTCTTCAGCCTCCTCAGCGACTTCCCCTTCTTCCCTGCAGGGTTCCAACAATTACCGCCTTCTCTAGCCACAGCCGATTAGGGAAAGCCGGTGATTAGCGATGGTTATCGTGGTAATTAAAATTCCCTGGGAACAGCCTGGCTGATATTTCCCGGTGCCTGCAGCCTCACCACCCGTGAGCTGCAACCACAATGTAGAATGGGGAGGACAGGGCAGCTCCAGAAGCACCTGCTGGCGCTGCGGCCACCCTGAGGGCCTCTTCTCGGTAAATGGCATCTCCAAGGCGACTGCGTGGCCAGCCTCATCACAGCAGTGTGGGGCTGTTTCAGATGGGGGTTTACTCTCATGCAGGGCTTTTCCCACGCTGTTCCCAGGGACAAGGTGGAAATGGGTGATGCCTAGCCACAAGGGATGGGTCCAGAGGCACAGGGAAGTCATGTGATTAATGGGAAGATCCTGTCAAATGGCCTGCAGGGTGGGGGTGAGTGGCCGGACAAGAGAAGGTCAGGGCTGTGCACAGACTGGCGTGGGGGAAGGGCTCACTGCTTAAAGCTCAGCCCAGCTGGGCCCAAGCTCCTCACCGCCCTAGGCCTGTGCACCCACATGGAAGGCATTTTCCAGAGTACTGACCGTGCATGTGTGTGCATCTGCACGGCACAGCTGCCACCCTGGGGGTACACCTGTGCACTCCATCTGCCTGACGCAGGGACTCACTGGCCATTCTGAGCAGCCGGGTCAGCCATCCTGCTTTCAACCTGGGTTCCAGTGGCAGTGGGAGAGAAACACACAGACTAGAGGATCCAGACGGGGGCAAGTCAGCTGGGATGGTGGATCCTGTGGTGTGCCATGGCCACACCCACCACACTCCAGGGAGAGCCGCAGTCTGGCAGGCCTGGAGAGGGTGGGTGGTTCTGTAGAGGGTGCTGCTGGGGAGAGCTGGGTAAGGTGAGGGGGCTGAATACCCCACCGACTGGGACACCGGCAGTGTCATCTTCCCAAGCATATGTTCTGATTTGCACTGCTAAGTGGAAGGGATAGAGGTGTGCTATTATATTACAAAGAGGAGAGACTGAAGCATGGGGCACAGGGTCTGGTGTGCGGGAGGTAGGGGAGGAGGGAGGAAGAAGAGCAGGAAGCACTTCACTGAACTAACCCTCTACCAGCTGCTAGAGATGGCCTGGTCGTTGGTTCCCTGCCACCTATATAGGAGACCTAGGTCAAGTTCCTGGCTCCTGTCTTCAGCTTGCACAGCCCCCGCCATTGCAGGCATTTGAATAGTGAACCAGCAGATGGGAGCACTCTCTCTCGCTCTCTCTCGCTCATTAAGAAAAGAGGCACAATCCAAATGTCCACTAATGGGTGAACATACAACAAAATGTGGTCTCTACCCACAGTGGAACATATTTTAACCCCAAAGGAAAGTTCAGCACAGACAAAATTTGAAGGCAGAACTTTGCTAAGTGAGATAAGGGTCACAAAGGCATCTTCAGAGTGTTTGGAAGTAAGTGTCATGGAAAAACTGCATGGATATCAGGAATGGTGTATACCAAAATAAACCTATCTTTTGATGGCATGTTCCTGTAAAGTACCTAGAAAAGTCAGGTCCATAGTGGAGCGGACCCCGTGAGATACTGCCAAGTCACATAGAACAGGTTACACCTGTACGTTCCTGTTTCCCGAGGGAAGAAAAAAAAAATTTGTAAAATTGTGTGGCTGCCCAGGCATGCGAGAATGCCCACCCCTATACCACGCAGGGCTGTGTTGGGAGTGACCCAAGATTTCTTTAACATTTTTTTAATCATCCTGATTTTGTCTGCTTTGAGTGCATTGCTCAAGGGGAAAAAAAGCAGACAAAACAGTTACCACAGCAGGGCTGGAGCTTAGGGGGCAGTGGTGGGGCCCCCACCCCAATGATATCCCAGGGCCCCAGTTCACAAGGGAGGACACGAGCTGGCATACCCAGGGCAGGGCTGAGACTGCATGGGACCTGGCTACCTTGTCTGATCTCTCAGGCACCAGGTCACCATTCAACCACAGTTCCGTGAGGGCTGCTTTGTATCTGTAGGCTGCTGGAGTGAGGTTTGGGGACCTCCAGGGCTGAGCGGAGGCCAGTAGATGGTACCCTGGTATGGGGCAAGGTGACTGAACCTGTTGGAACCTCAGTCTTACCATCTGGAAAGTGGGGACCATAGCAGACCTTCTGAAAGAACCGTTGTCAGTGTGCCTCTGGGGGCGAGGAAGGAGTGAATGCCGTGACCCGTGACAGTTCTGACTCATTGGCTGCTGCTCTCACAAAGTATCTGAGACAGGATCATTGACTGGGAACAGAGTTGACTTAGCTCTCAGTACCCGAGGCTGAGAAGTCCCTGCCTTGCACAGCAAGGAGTGAGTGGGTTGGCTGGGTCCTCTCTTCCCTCACCTTCAAACCACCTGATCCTGTCCTGGGGCCCCACCCCTGCACCCCATGGAATCCTCATTCCCTGCCAGAGGCCCCACTGTGCATGTGAACTTGAGGGTTGAGTTGCTCTGGGAGCATTGGTGGGGACAAACACTCAGACCACGCTGTTCCCATTTGTCCTGGAGGAAGCAGTGCCGACCCATGTCCCATCTGCTGAGCAGCTAATCCGCACCTGGCCTTGGGGCTGTGAGCATTCTAGGGTCCCAGCTTCTTGCTGCCCTTCCTTGTGTCCATAGATACCGAAGCTGAGCTGGGGGGCGGGAGGCCGGTCACCTGCTCTTTGAAAAGGTGTCACCACCTCCATCTCCCCACCACACAGCACAGAACATGTCACCTCCATGAGACTCCTTGCAGTTTAGTGCCCTTGTGTCAGCCTCCCTGAGTTCTCATGGAGCAGTTCCTCTGGTGGGACCATCCTCTCTGCACCTGCTGCATAGCTTGTCCCCCTCGAGAAACCCTCAGGGAAGAGCTTGTGCAGCTGGGCTGGCTCCTCCCTAAGCTCCCTGTGGCTCTGCCCTAGCCCCTGGGGCACATAGGCCCTATCCCTAAAGTATTCCGACTTTCTCAGCAGCCTCTCTGGACAGCCGGGGGTAGCTGACCCGACCAGGCTCAGAGAGATCACATGGCTCACTCAAGGCCACTCAGCGGGCACGGACAGAAGCTGCTGCTGCCTTCTGTAGGAGAGCAGCACGGAGGGGTCTGGGGTCTGCCAGGCTGAGCCAGGTCCAGAGGGACTCACCAAGACCCCAGGGGGCTGCATGCTCCACACTTGGAGCCTCTTCCACCCCGTCAGCCCTGCCCAGGGCAAGGGTGGGTGTCCTAAACCTCCTGGGGTCTGCCCAGACTTGAAGGTGCCTTCTTACTAGTTTCCCACCCTAAAGTCATCTCTTTCAAGGGATGGATGTATATCTATGCCTGCTTGGGCTCTGAGAATCCCCAGGGATCTGTAGGGGTCAAGGAGGGCGATCCTGGGGTGCCCAGGGCCTTGACAGAACCAAGGCCAAGAAGAGGCTAGAGGAACCTGTTGGCCAGGAGCTGGGCAGTGAGACTTCAGCCAGGAGCCCTATGGCCACTTCCAAGCCCTCTCCTAAGGGAAAGTGACAAACATGAGTGAGTGGGAAGGGGGGATGGCCAGGTGGAAAGGGTTAGAGCAGTTGAGGAGCTGGGGCTGTGGTCCTTGGTGCCTGGTGGGTGCCGGGCGGGGTCCCTAGGGGTGTTTGGGCTGAGCTTTCCCATCTGCAGCTTCAGGCCTGGGCCACTAAACAAGTTCAGGTGAGGTAGGGCATAGTCATGGAAACGCCACAGTGCCCTGTGCCTCCTCCTGAGCCTTGCAACATCTGTGATTTTAGGAGAGGATCAGGGATGGGTAGGGGTGGATGTTGTGGGCTCTGAGACTCCAAGTCAAGGGGTCCAGAGATGGCAGTGGTGGGCAGTTTGCATCACCATTTCCCATTGGGTACCATGCTTTGCAGCAGGGACAGGAAAGGAAGGGGCTGCCATTAAAGCACTGTGAGCACATGGGATGCACGCCTCACTTTCCAGCCCCTGTGATGTCCTTGGTCAGGAGATGTAGCTGGACCCTATCCCCACATCCAGCTCTGTGGCCCATCTCCCCTGATAGAGAGAGGACAGAATGGGACCTGTAACAAGAGGGGATCCATTTGGTTGCATAGTTCTCAGGGCAGGGGAAGAGTGGGGCTGTGCTCTGAACAGGTCTCTCCCCCCACGCAGGTCTGGAAGAGGTCAGGGGCCTGGTTCTACAAAGGGCTGCCCAAATACATCTTGCCTCTGAAGACTCCTGGCCGTGCGGATGACCCCCACTTCCGCCCTTTGCCTGTGGAGCCGGCGGAGCCAGAGCCTAGAAGCATGGAGAACCCCCGCGTCTACACATGGGCCCGAGGGAGAGGTAAGATTGCATACTGTCACCCCTGGGACACCCGTGACGTCACCGTCAGCTGCAGGCATGGCCATCAGGACCCCGACATGAGGCTATGCCTGCCAGCCCTGGGCCCTACACCATGTGCCTTGGCTTCCCCCATACTGGTCACAGGACAGGGAGGGCTTCTGGGTGCCCTAGGCATGGCTGTGCTGGTGGGCATGGCCGGTGGTACCAGTGACTACAGTACTTGGTACCTTCGCTGGCCCCTGCTCTGTGTGTGTGTGTGCGTGCGTGTGTTTGTTCCAAGATCTCAGCCTCAGTGCAGCTTCAGGGGGTGAGGTGGGTGGTCAAGGCTGGTATGAGCCCTGAGAACTGGGGTGGAGGTCCTCCACTGGTGGGAGGCTAGCCCTTGTCCTCAGTTGGGTGGTGGGGAATTCCTTTCAGCCTAAGAAGGGCTCATGAGGCCATAGGCTGAGCAGTTCCTCCTGAGAATGGCCTTCTTGCTGGGGTTCCCACAGGTTCGTGGTCATGTGTTTTATGAAAAACTTGGGCATGTGCACTGTATTCTTTGGGCTAAAGTAAACCCAGTAATCCCACTGTGGGTACATTCTGGAGCACCCTGCTGGACCTGGCAGGTGGCTTGCCAAAAGCCAAGTCCCTCTGACATCTGGCAGTCCTTATGTCATTTGCTGCTTCTCTTAGTACAAAGGCAATGCATGTTCATTATAAGAATGGGAAATTGTGCAACAGTGCACTTCAGGGGGTCCAACAGACCACCCCTTCCCCTGACAGCATAGGCTCTGACCCTTGCTGTCCATCCTCAGCAGCTGACCCCGACTCCTGCAGCTCATCTGCCCATGTTGTTGGGGTCACAGAGCTGCTGCTGGGGGTCGGCAGGGCAGAGAGAGATTGACAGGGAGGAGAGCCCACCCTACTTAGACATCAGCCCATGGTGGGCACTGTGGGCTGACCAGTCCCCAGTGGTAACCAGCACAGTTTGTTGGGGAGGTGATGCCATTCACCCTATCCCCTATCTACCCTCAGAGCTGTGACTGGGAAACAAGCCAGGGGCTGCTAGTGGTGGTATTGTGCATGGCTTCCACAGGGGAGAAGGGAGGCCTGAGGCCTGGGTGGGCAGCTGCAGCCCTGCCCCAGCCCAAGGAGCTGTCACTGCCCCAACAGCTCCAGGTCAGCGCAAACGTGTGCACATGCATGCAGGCACAAACGGGCAGGCGTGTACACACATGTGCGCTCATAGGTGGGCAGGCACATGTGCATTCAGACATGTGAATAGATACAGACAGGAGTCTCTTCACTATGCCCTTGACCGTGTCATTTTGTGGCGGCGAGACCATACCACAGAACATTTGGAGTAGGGATTATTTGTTAACCTGGTTTGAGTTGAGATTGGATTTCAAGGAGGCCCTGTCCTGTAAAGTTGGCCTCGCTCTGGGGGTAGATGTGGTGATAGTAGTAGGAGTGGCAGGACTAACCTTGGGAGTGACCAGGGCCATGGGTGGTAGTGGCAGGTGACACAGACAAACTCTATCTCAAGGGAACCACCAAGTCAGCCAGGAAGACTACAGAGAACAGGGACGTGCCTGTCCCTGGGCAGCCATGCTGGCCACATGCTCGTCTTAAAAATCAACCAATTGATTGGTTTGTTTAGTTGAGAGACAGAGTGTGTGATGGACACAATTTCCATCTGCAAGTTCACTTAACCAGGCCAGGCCAAGCTGAGAGCCAGAAACTCGTGGCCGGTACCCATGCACCTGCTGACCCCAAAGGGTACGTATCAGATTGAAGCTGGGATCGCAAATGGAGTCGGGACTCATGTTCATGTGTGGTGTGGGACATGGTCGTCCCCCATGGTGTCCATGCGGACAGGCAGCCCACACAAACAAAGCCAAATACTTAGCTAAGCCCGGCTTAGCTACCAGGCCAGTAGCACCACATGGTCAAGGTTAAGTGTGTCGGTGTACAGGAGAGTGGCATGGAACCAGTGTGCATGCACCCACACACACACACACACACACACACAATGCAGGACAGAAAAATCTGGAGAGGCGTACCTGGTCAGCATCCTATTCTAGGGCCAGGGCCTGCTGGGTGCACCCCTAGGGATGCCTAAGAGGCTGTTGGCACCACCCTGCTCCCCTGAGATAGCCCTTCCTTGGCCCTGCCCCCTGCCACCAACATGTCCGTCTCTCTGTCCTCTTTCCTCACTGTGCTCTTGGACGCTGCACCTGCTCCTCCCAGCAACTCGTTCCAGCCCAGCCCCAAGTGCTCTGTGTGTACTGAGGGCTTAACAATCTAGAACAGCCAAATGAGTGTGTTGTCCTGCTGAGGTGCCTCCTTTCCTCCCTCCTCCAGACTCTCTGATAATTCATAATTACCCAAGAAAACATGATGTATTTTAGCACAGAAAATGAGCACTGCATGAAAAGTGAAGCTCCGTCCTACTTGCCCACCTCTCCTCTACAAACACTTGCAGTGGAGCTCAGGAACGGGGGCATGTGTGGAGTTTAGCTGCCTGCTCTGCCGCTGCAAGTTGGCGTGTCACAAGTCGAGTGCCCCTCTAACCGAGGACGGGGAGTTACCACCTCCCTGCAGTGGCTGCGGACATGTCTGCAGTGAGATGCATTTTGTAGGGTTACTTGTTTGTTTATTTGAAAGGCAGGGTTACAGAAACAGGAGAAGAGACAAAGAGAGAGATCTTGCGTCTGCTGGTTCACTCCCCAAGTGGCTGCAACAGCCAGGACTGAGCAAGGCCAAAGTCAGGTGCCAGGAGCTTCTTCCAGTTCTCCCACATGGGTGCAGGGGCCCAAGTAGTTTGGCCATCTTTTGCTAACATGTCTTCTGGGGCATAACTTAATGTTCCTTCAAAATGCACCTCCTTCTGTGAGGTAGGTTTCCAGAGGGTGACTATGGGTGTGTATATGTATATGTGTATGAATTTTAAGCTTAGTGAAAGAAGGAAGAGAACAGAGAGTCACTTCCCAGATGACCACCATGGATGAGGGTGGGCCAGGCTAAAGCTGGGAGCCCATAACGTCATCCGGGCCTCCCATGTGGATTGCAGGAACCCAGGCACTTGGGCCATCACATGCTGCTTTCCCAGGTGCCTGAACAGGGAGCTGAATCAGAAGTGGAACAGCCGGTACTTAAGACAAGTGCTCTGATAAGGGATGCCAACATTATAAGTGGCCGTTTAACCTATTGACCCCACAACACCCCCACATATTCTGAATTTCAGTAGACGATGCCAGGCTGTGCTCAAAACAAATGCGGTCGCTCATGCCCACGAGGCTGCCCATGCTGACTGTCAGTGAATCCTAGAATTCTGGCCGGGATACTGGACAGAGCCTGCACACGAGTGTCTCTCCCTGCATTGATTATCCACTGATGATTTCACTTCCCTCCTTTAAAACCAATCTGTTCAGGTCCCCTGTTCGTTTCTTAGAGTCACTATCTGTGTCTAGACTTGTTGGTGCCCCTTGCAGGTTGGGCACACTAGATGGATTGAAGGCATCTTTCTCCTTATTTCCACTCTCTACTGGTTTGATTTTAATCCTGGTTATCGTATCTCTGGCCATTCAAGCAGGTTCTTTTTCCCATGAAGTCAGGTGTATCTTCTTTTGTTTCTAAGATGCCTGTCTTGCTTTGGCATGTCTTCCTCACCCCAAAATACCTTCCCCCAAAATTCTGCTAAATAAAAAAGTTCAATTAAAATGTGAGTAAAGGGCCCAGTGCTGTAGGCTAGTGGTTAAAGTCCTTGTCTTGCATATGCTGAAATCCCGTATAGACATCAGTTTGTGTCCTAGCTGCTCCACTTCCCACCCAGCTCCCTGCTTGTGGCCTGGGAAAGCAGTTGAGGATGGCCCAAACCCTTGGGATCCTGCAACTAGTGGGAGACCAGAAAGAAGCTCCTGGCTCCTGGCTTCAGTTATGCTCAGCTGCAGTCATTGCAGCCACTTGGGGAGTGAACCCAGCAAACAGAAGATCTTTCTCTGTGTATTTCCTCTCTGTGTATCTGCCTTTCCAATAACAATAATAAATAATAATAATAAATGAGAGTAGAAAGAAACCATCAATAATAAAAACTACCAAAAGGGAACAAATTCTTTTTTAAAAAAGATTTATTTTATTTTTATTGGAAAGGCAGATATACAGAGAGGAGAGACAGAGAGGAGAGACAGAGAGGAAGATCTTCTGTCTGCTGGTTCACTCCCCAGGCAGCTGCAACAGCTGGAGCTGAGCCAATCCGAAGCCAGGAGCCTCTTCCAGGTCTCCCACGCGGGTGCAGGGTCCCAAAGCTTTGGGCCGTCCTCAACTGCTTTCCCGGGCCACAGGCAGGGAGCTGGAAGGGAAGCGGGGCCGCTGGGATTAGAACTGGCGCCCATATGGGATCCCAGGCGTGTAAGGCGAGGACCTTAACCACTGCGCCATCGCGCCGGTCCCCAAAAGGAAATAAATTCTAACAGCAAGCACCATCCTGATAAAGTCCTGACTCAAGATACAAGTCAGGACCGCCCCCTCCCCCACAGCAGCTCCACTCAGCAGTGTTTTGGGGGTTTGTTCTGGTTTTGGTTTTGATTTTGTTTGTTTGTAACAGTGTGATAAGGCTAAGAAAGGAAACTCACCTTAATATCGGAAGAAAAGCAAAGAAATCCTCGTTTATAGATGATGTGATTGAATCCCAAGAAAACATCACAGATCCTGCTCAAAGCAGGATTCCCAGGAAAATGTAGGAACTGACAGAGCACAGGATAAATCAATTTGAAGATGTCAGGCTCTCTCCTGGCTGACTGCAAGTGGAAACAGGAAATTCCATGTTTAGTCACAACAGAAATCAGGGAATGCCTGGAACAGAGTTGAAGAACTATAGGAACAGTGTGCAAACAAGAGCACACATGGTGCCGTCCCAGCTGGTCCTGGCAACTCTAAAGCGAAATCCCACACGTGGCTCATGCTCACCGCAGCGGAACTTCCTCCTCTCCCTGCAGGCTGGAGGTGCAAGGGAAGCC